ATTTCTGCTTCTGGTAATAAGGGGCTAGCTTATATTGGGCTAATCCTCTTTTTGATAACAGTTATTAATCTGAGGTAAAAATATTCAAAATACCTACTTGATAGAACTAGAAAATGACCCAAAGCATATAAAACTAGAGAGGAATCGATCCTTGAAGGAATGGGACTATACTTGGCGACATTTACATTAAACAGCTCTTTGTGAGGGGCCACACAACTGTAATTCAAGCAGAGAGCCCCAGTTTTACTGGCTTGAGGATGGATGTCAGGGAGCCCTAATATTTGCAGATAAATAATCATCTAAATCCTTGGTCAAACCTGAATACACATGTGCAGCAGAAACTTCAGGGAGCTTGGCAGAAATTTCAGCTGTTGCTCACCACAGGGGAGCAACATTAATCATTAGAAAACTGAGTGATTATATTAATATCAAACAAAATAGGTTGCAGAACCTGAAATATTGAGAGATAATTCATAAGGATTAAAAAATAAGGTCACTTTATCAAGGAGACATAACAGTCCTAGATGTGTATGTAAGTAATAAATAGAGCTACAGAATACTTGAAGCAAAAACTGACTGAACTGAAAGAAGAAATGGACAAATCTACAATGGTAGTTGGAGGTTACAACATTTCTTTCAATAATTGATAGAACAAAGAGCTAGAAAGTCAGTAAGGATAGAGAAGACTTAAACAACACTATTAACCAACTTTACCTAATTGGTATTTATAGAACGGTCTGCCCCACAAGAGCAGAGTCCATGTTCTCTTAAAGAACATGTGGAATATTCAGCATGACCATATAGTGGACCATAAAGCAATGTCAGTAAGTTTAAAAGAACTGATATCATGCAGAGCATGTTCTCTGACCCACCAGAATTAAATTAAAAATCACTAACAGAAAGATACATGGAAAACCCCAGGTATTTGGAGATTAGATTATTCAAACGCAGTAATCTGTTACTGCCTTAAAAAAAAACACCCAACTTGATGGCGAAAACAACAACAATTTATTATCTCTCACTATTCTGAGTGTTGACTTTGCATTTCTTTTGCAGGTTTTGCCCAAGATTACTCAAGGAGATGCATTCAGCTAGAGGGTCTGCCTAGAGGGCTGGGCCTTTTTTCCATATGGTCTTTCATCCTCAAATAGGCTAACCTGGGCTGCCTCGGGTGGTGGAAGCACATTCCAAGAAGTCAAGTCCTTATACCACTTATCAAACCTCTGCTTGCATCAAATTGGCATATGTCCCATTGGCCAAAAGAAATCACATGAACAAACCCAGAATCAATGTGAGAGAGGACTACATGGACACCAGGAGGCATGATTCATTGGGGATAGCAATTTACCACAATTGATAGGACTTTGGTTAAATCATTTTTCTCATCTATAAAACAGACTTTATGGGGCCAGCCTGGTGGCGCAGTGGTTAAGTGCACACGTTCCGCTTTGGCGGTTTGGGGTTCGCCAGTTCAGATCCCGGGTGCGGACCTGGCATGGCTTGGCACGCCATGCTGTGGTGGGCGTCCCACATATAAAGTAGAGGAAGATGGGCACTGATGTTAGCTCAGGGCCAGTCTAATATAATCAAGTAGTATCTGGAATGCCATCAGATTACAGAGAGCTATGCTGTGCAAAATTTTAATCAGTTGGCAAATCATCAAAATTCATTTGAAAACACTGGAAAATTCTGCTTTTAAGCAGTTGTTAAAATATAAATAGTTGGAATGCTAAAGGAAAGATAGCAATATTTATTCTGGAACTGCAATCTAAAAATTGAAGTTTGCAAATACCGTGCTCATCAGTTGTTTGGTAAAGTACTGACAAAAATAAATCTTATGAAAACTAGATTACTTGTTTTTGAGAAAATAGAATATGCTAATATCTCTCCAACTCTCTTCCTCTCTCTCTTTTCTTTGTTTCTCTGTTTCAGCAGTTAAATGACTTACATTTATGATTTCCAGAAAAGGATTTGTTGGCTCACTCTTTTTTTTTTTTAACATTTCATTGCCTGTATTAGTTTAAAATGCCTTCTAGAATGGTGCTGAGATAACTGGATGTCCACATGCAAAAAATGAAGTTGGACTCCTACCTCATACTGTATACAAAAATTAACTCAAAATGATCAAAACACCTAAATGTAACAGCTAAAGTAAAACTCTTACAAGAAACCAAAGGGATAAATCTTGGTGACCTTGGATTAATTTCTTAGATATGACAACAAAAGCCCAAGCAACAGTAGAAAAAAATAGATAAATTGGACTTCATCAAAATTAAAAATGCTTGTGCTTCAAAAGACACTATTAAGAAAATGAAAGACAACCAGCAAGATATGAAAAAATATTTGCAAATCTTGTACCTGATAAGGGACTTTTATCTAGAATATATAAAAACTCTTAAAAAGAACAATAAAAAGACAACCCAATTTAAAAATGGGCCAAGGATCTGAATAGACATTTCTCCAAAGAAGATATACAAATGATGAATAAGCACGTGAAAAGATGCTTGTCATCATTAGACATCAGGGAAATACAAATCAAAACCACAGTGAGATACCACTTAACACCCACTAGGTTGGCTAGAATCAAAAAGACATTCACAAGTGTTGACTAGGATGTGAAGATATGGTAACCCTTATACTCTGCCAGTGGGATTGTCAAATGGGACAGCTGCTTTGGAAAACAGTCGAGCATTTCCCCAAATGGTTAAACATAGCATTATTTTATGACCCAGCAATTCCAGTGCTGGATATACACCCAAGAGAAATGAAAATGCGTGTCTACACAAAAACTTATACACTAATGTTACAGCAACATAATTCATATTAGCTGAAAAGTTGAACCAACCCAAATGTCTGTCTATCAGCTGACAAATGGATAAATGAAATGTGGTGTATCCATACAGTAGAATGTTATCTGGCCATAAAGAGGAATGATATACTGATCATGTTACAACATAAATGAACCTTGAAAACATTGTGCTAAGTGAAACAAGCAGTCACGAAGACCACATATTGTATGATTCTATTTGTATTAAATGTTCAGAATAGGTAAATCTATAGATAGAGAAAGTAGATTAGTGGTTGTGTGAGGCTTCAGAGAATAAGGGATATGGGAGCAGTAGCTAAACGATATGGGGTTTCTTTTGGAGGTGGTTAAAATGTTCTAAAATTGACGGTGGTGATAGTTGCATATGTCTGTGAATGAATATAATATCAACCATTGAATTATACATTTTAAATGGTTGAATTTTATGGTATGTGAACTTTATCTCAATAAAGTTGTTATAAAAAAAGAAATTTTTAGAAAAATAAGTAGACTTTTGCAATACTGTTTACCAAATGGTATACCTCCAAGCCAGAAACTCAAATTACTTTATATGAAGATCTATATGATACCCAAAACCCTGAAATATACTTTAAAATGATTAAAATGGTGAATTTTATGTAATATGAGTTCTCAATTTTTTTAATCTATATGCTTAAAAAATCATAAATTCAGCAGTGAGAGCTCAGTGAAACAAGTCAGAGCTGAGATCCTTTTTGATACCAACTCCCCCAGCAGAGAATCCAGAGAGTGATCCAAATTGCATACCAGAAGAGCTCAGTGAGCACACTTATTTGTCCAAGAGTCCCAGAGAAGGCCGTCAAGTGAGGGTCCTCAAAGTTATCTCATTGGAACCTTCAAATGTTGAAGGAGGAGACCACCACTCTAATATGTGGAACAATGAAGTTCAATTTACTACTTTCTAAACAAAAGAGAATGGTACTTACAAAATACAACCTCTCTGAACAAAGCAGAACTAATATATAGGATTTTGAGAAGTGTGGATTTCTGGGATTGGCAGATTTTCAAAACTGGGAATATTTTAAAGATTGGCTCGCTTTTAGCTGTGGTGTACAGAGATTGGTGGACTGTCAGAAGCAGGAGTGGAAGCGGGACTACTGATGACTGCTGGAGTGAGGCTGTGGTTGATTGGCTGCCTTGCAGAAACATGGGCTGTCACTGATTGGCTGCCTTGCAGAAGCATGGCTGTCACTGATTAGCTACCTTGCAGAAGCATGGGGCTGTCACTGATTGGCTGCCTTGTAGAGGCGTGGCTATTGGAGCAAAGCAGCTACTGTTTGATTGGGACCCGGTTAAACTGGTTCTGTGGTTACTTGCTGATGGCTTGGAACAAGAGCCAAACAACAGGCGGTCTTTCCCTTTTCTTGAACTTGGAGAATAGGAGCTTTTTATTCTTAACCTCTACTATTTCTGACAGCTATATCATAATTTAATTTAAAATCTTTACTCACTGGGCAGTGAGGAGTTACGGTAGTTTTTAACCAGGAGAGTGAGGAGATCATTTGCAGACTTGTAAAAGATGGATTATAGAGGAGAAGAAAAAGTCCAGGAGGTGGTTACAAGGCTATTGAAAATACTAGATTTTAGGATGTTCTGAGGCATAGCTTTATTAAGAGGAAAAGAAGGCAGACTTTATGGCGCATTAATATCTTCCTCTTCCTAAATTATATTTGTCAAGCTTGTCAAGATGTAAGTGTGCCGTTTGCCTTCGTCAGCAGGCCCTCATTCCTGTTCCTTTGTTCCTTCCCCTCCCCACTTTCTCTCTCTCCAAGTGAAAAGTTAACATCTGTGCCAAAGAAGAATTGCTAGTGAATGTCAAGATTGTTCTAATTAATAAATGAGGAGGGCCAGCCCGTGGCCGAGTGGTTAAGTTCATGCACTCTGCTTCGGCAGCCCAGGGTTTCACGGGTTCCGATCCTGGGCGCAGATCTGGCACCACTCATCAAGCCATGCTGAGGCAGCATCCCACATAGCACAACTAAATGGACCCACAACTAAAAACATATACATCTATGTACTGGGGGGCTTTGGGGAGAAGAAGGAAAAGAGAAATCCTTTAAAAAAATTAATTAATTTTTAAAATGAGGAATAATTTAAACAATCAATTTGAGAAAAAAAATGCCTTGATTTCTGACCATTTTCTTGGTTTTCTTAGATAATTAAGTTGAAAGCTGAAGCCCGGCTGGACCTGCTAAAGCAGATTGGTGTTTCTGTGGACACGTGGCTAAAGAGTGCAATGAACCAAGTAATGGAAGAACTGGAAAATGAGCGGTGGGCCCGCCTTCCTGCAGTGACCAATAATGGCACTTTACACTCGGTAAGGTGTCTCTTCTTGGATATGATGGGCTGACTTTTACTGAAGGGTGCTATTCTCTTACTATGTAGGCAAACTTGATAGACAAAATTTAAAAGCAAAAATCATGGATCTTGCTACTGGATTGGGTTTTTCTTTCTTTAGCCTATCACTAATTGAGTCAAACTTAGTACAGAAAAAAAATAGTGCTTTTTTTTTTTTATGTGCAGTGAAGAATGTATTACCACTAGTTGGCTTATCAGTGCTGATTTGCCAAACTCATTATCCCTATTCATGAAGTAGATATGCGTCTTGTCTGGAAGTAGCAGAATAAAAATTATAATTTAATATTTCTGAAGTTCTCAGAGGTCTTCTCTAGTGTAAATGAAAATTAACATCCAGAGAGTTGTAAACGATCTTAAAGAAGGGAAAGGAACACTCTTACTCTGTGACTTAGTCTGTTCAGTTCACAAGGGCTTTCACACTCTGCTCACAGTATCTTTCCTCAGGGAGACAGTGCAGGTATGGTCTTACAAACAAAGCCAGAACTCAAGCTTAAGTTTTCTTACTTCAAGTCCAGGGCTCTTTCCACTCTGATGTCATCCAGTTCAACCTTGATTTTTCATGTTGGAGATCTGAGTACCAGAAAAGCTCGGTGATTTGCCTGATATTACATAGATGGATCTGTGATGCCTAGCTGGTCAGACTAGAGTAATTCCTGCTGCTACCTCCCCACCCATTACTCTCTCTCATCCTTTTTCCTATGGCATTTATTAGAATCTATACTTTTCTTCTTTGGGTTTTTTTATTGTCTATCTTCCTCTCTGGAATCTCATTTCCATGTCTGCCTGGTTCACTGCTCTACACAGCAAAGTGCCTGGTGCATAATAGGTACTTAATAAATACCTGTCGAAGTAATGGATGGATGGATGGATGGATAGATAGAATAGTGGCAAACTAAAAGCTAAAACCCTATAATCTCCCAACTTCCCACTATATCCATAGTACCTCTTCAGTTCTTGTGCCCTGCAGATAAAAGGCATCCTTGCTAGAGAAATGGACCAAAATTTAAGCACATTCCTGGAAATTTTGTCAGTTTTTTCAGCTAGCATTATGATTTCCTAATGGGAATACACTTGCACATTTAGAAAGGATTATGTATGGGTTGCACTTTAAGGAAAAACAATCTGGGGGCCAGCCTGGTGGTGCAGCAGTTAAGTTTGCACGTTCCACTTCGGCAGCCGGGGGTTCACTGGTTCGGATCCCGGGTGTGGACATGGCAGCACTTGGCAAGCCATGCTGTGGCAGGCATCCCACATATAAAGTGGAGGAAGATGGGCACAGATGTTAGCTCAAGGCCAGTCTTCCTCAGCAAAAAGAAGAGGATTGGCAGCAGATGTTAGCTCAAGGCTAATCTTCCTCAAAAAAAGAAAACAGTCTATTGAAGGTTTGTTTTTATTTCACTGTTAATGGGTAATTCAACTGGAGAAAATAAGCACACATCACCCCCTTGACTTTGGGGATAGAAGAGACTTGCCCTGTCTTCAATACAAGAAAATTACTCTGTGTCATGGAATATCTCTTCCTATTGCATCTTTTAAAAATCACAATTCCCATCTTCTTCAGGTTATTCTGTTATACAGAATTTATGTTAACAGCAAATTCCAGGCACAAACTTGGCTTTTGGCTTCTTCAGCAGCTCTGATGACAACCAGTCAAACCCATGATTTTCCTTGGACTGGCACCTTTTCTAACTAAATCAGCTGGGCAGGCACTTATTGCCTGACTGTGTACCTACTTCCTGGGAAATCAGAGATGAACAAGACTTGGTCTCTCTCCTCAAAGAGCTTACCAGCTAGTAGAACAGACAACTTTATAGATCTTCGTGATACATGGCAGTGCATGACTGGACAGCTGTGTGGCAAACTCAGAATTGTTTGCTCCTGACGCATCGACGCACCTTGGGAAAAGTCACTTCTCTCTGGGTTTCAGGGAGAAAGTTAGGTTAAATAATTCTAAGATCTCCTCCAACTCCAAAATCTCATGATTTTGTGAAATGCTATCAAAAGAGCTCAATATCAGCTAGAAAAAATAGGAAAGAAGTTTGCTCCCCGAAGGAAATGTCATTTGAGATAGTCCTTGAAGAATTTTAATGGGAGATAAAGGGCTTCTGAGTATGAAGGAAGGAAGCAAGGAAGATGTGGCCAGTACCGTGTGTGGCAGTGAGACGTGCAGTCTGGTAGTAAGGGTTGAATAAACTGGGTATTTGTGAGAACTGTCCAAAGATGTCAGCTCAGCTGGAAACATGTCACATCCTCTGTTAAGGCAGCATTTGCAGTCCCGTCTCATTCTCTTCCCTCTTGTCAGTCTTACGGAGCCTGTGTTTTCCCACTTTCAGCTGAGGGATATATTTTGGGGAAGCTCTACTAACAATATAAATAAAGGAGACATGTAGGCACAAAAAGCTTAATGAAGTCCCAATATTTATTTAACCTGCTTTTAAATGGCAGCGCTGAAATAATCTAGGAGGAGTTGTATCTCTTCACAGTGACAGCTGGCTGGCTAGGAGCATGAAGCAGAAATACACATTCTGGGACCAAATTATTTCTTCCAGTATAGATGCCAACAAAAACGTTAGTCATCAAGTTTAGAATTCCCTTCCATCTAGAAATATGGTTAATACTACCGTTAGACTTTAACAATGTAAAGTGCCTTATAGAAGATAAATGTTTTTAAAATATTTAGTCTATTTACCTTATAAAATAAGAAAGGAGCTATACTTACTTGGTTGTTAATTCTTTGCCTTCTGTATTATGCTGTGGTACAGAATATAGGATTGGGAATAAAAACAATCACAGAAAATAGCAACATTTCTTGAAAAGGAGAGCAGTCTACTGATATATAGTTATCCAGTTGATGGTTAACCAGAGCCTACACACAGCTTTCTATGATTGGGTTCCTGCCTGTGACCCAGACAGCCTTTCTGTCACTCATCCCTCCCTTCTCTTATTTTTCTGCCATCTCTTACTCAAAAACCCACACCCAGTTTACAACCTAATTTTGAAATTATATTAATTTTAAAATTAAAAAGCTATGTAACTAGATTACAAAAAATTTAGAAAGTACAATAGAAATGACCAGTAGCTCCATCCTTATAACACCACTGTTAGCAACTTGATGTATTTCCTTGCACTTTCTATTATTCTTTTTTTAACATATTTATCGTTCATAGAGTTAATTTTGTATATTTTTCCATCTAACATTCCATATTGCTGGGTGTTCTTCATAATCATCCTTTTCGTGTGTATATAATATTCCATCAGGAAGTTGTGCCATAATTCACTTAACTATTCCCTTATAGGTTCAATATTTAGATTGCCTCCAGATATTCTAAATAATACTCTGAAAAACATATGTGTACATATCTGTTTTCCATACTTGGGAGTTTTTCTATAATACTGATTTTTAGAAGTGGAATTACCGGCTCAAAAAATCTATAGTCCTTTGTTTGAGATTGGTTTATTTCTGTTCTTTCTCTTCTTTTTTCCCTAAGATTTTCAAACTATAGCTGACAGTGTTTCCATGACTTCCTTGTCTTCAGCCACTTCCCCCAACTACTATACAAAGGCATCCTGCCATCTGCTTTGTTGTGCAACCTCCCTGAGAGCACGAGCATTTTGCAGAGTTGCATAGCGATAAATTCTGACTCCACTCATTATGAAGACTTTGCTGAATAATGTGTTTGAAAAGCTAGGAGAGTAAATATTTTTAACCTTCAGAATGGTAGTTTGGTTCCTGTCTGCCTCAGGAATGTCTAATAGTCCTTGTGGTTAAATGGGCTTTGGTTTTGAAACATGAAAATTTATTTGTTGGTTTAAGTTAATCCCAAAGAAAGGAAACAGTGGATTTTTATAATGAGATAAACGTGAACTGTAGAAAATAAAAGAACACAACTGCAAAAATCTTCAGTCACTTTCATATTTAGGGTATTTCCAAATGAGCAGTGGTCTTTTTACTGGACTAAACCCCATACTCAAAATGCCACACTTTTAATGAAACTGACATTTCAGATTCCCAGTCAGATGAGTTTAATTCAGTTCAGTAAGCATGGACTGAGCCTGCATTGCTCGTGAGACCCTCTCCCACGTGCTGGGAGATACCAAGCTGAGTATGTCTCTTGAGTTTGTGGCCACAGATTGAGAGAACCAGTCTCACTGATGGCCAAGACCAAAGCTGGGCATTGAAAATATGTAGAGATTTTCACTTCTAAGAGAAGTATCTCCAGCTGTGTGGTATCCTTTGACTTTCTGCATAGCCATAATAACAAGTGCCTGACACAGATCCTTATACATAGTACATTTTCAAAAATTTAATCTGAACCTCAGGATAAGCAGTTTACTCCAGTTCTACAAGTAAGCTTAAAATACTACTAAAAGGAAGGAGATCACATTGATAAAGCATCTATTATGTACCAGCTACTACGTCAGGCACAGTCATACATTTCAGTTAATGATCACAACGATCCTGAATGTATTTACAGACAAGGAGATGGACTTGGAAGAATTAACTCTCTCACCCAAGGTCACACAGCTAGTAAGTGGAGAGAGCTAGGATTTGAACCCACATGTGTAAGCCCTGCTCTTCAGCAAACTCTCTTACTCTGTGGATGACCCTTCATTCCTCTAACTTTTATCATGATTCATTTTAATCGCTGAGCATTCCTTTCTTCCTTCTTTTTTTCTTAGCATCTGTTGAATCCTCATTGAATGTCATATTTTCAGTGTAATTACAGTCATGCATCGCTTAACAACAGGGACATTTCTGAGAAATGCGTCATTAGGTGATTTCATCATTGTGCGAACATCATAGAGTGTACTTACACAAACCAAGATGATATAGCCTACCACACACCTAGGTTATATGGTATTAATCTTATGGGACCACTGTTGTATATGCAGTTGGTTATTGACTGAAACATCGTTAGATAGCACACGACTGTAATGGTCTTGTAGTATCTGTAAGTA